ATATTCTCTCATTTTCGAGTTTGATTTGCCCATGCTTATGTTACCATTTCTTGGTTTGTGATCTTTGGATACTTCCTGTAATGAAAAGCAGTTGCCAGACTTAATGGATTCGGAAGCCATGTTGCTTGTTTATTTCTGTGCGCGACTGCCAATTTGATTATCTGGATAATGTAGCTTCACATTATAGCTTGTCTCATACATAAGTATTTGTCTCATCTCCTAGAATTTGTCTTTCCTAGTGTCTGTTTGGTCAAGCAGCAAAATTAATTCCATTTATTCGTTCTTTTCAGTTTGTGATTTTTGTTTTCTGTTTTTAAGTGCAGAGACCACCTCCTTCTTGCTTGTGGGGGGAAGCAACCTTTCCTGCAAGTTTGTTTTGTTAATCTGCAATGGGGGATGAAGTAAACAGTTTTCAAACTTCCAAAAAGAGGGCTGCTGGAGTGCAGCTATCTGGAGATAACCCTGGTCTCGATGATGATGAAACCTCTGAAACAGAAACAGGAAGTTTCAAGAGGGCTAGTGATGAGGTTCTTGCAAGTAGAAGAATAGTGAAAGTTCGTCGCAATCAGATGTCAACCCCATCAGTCCCTACCTCAGCCCCTTCTTCTAACCCATTTGCTGCGATCCGTCTGGTTACTCCTGCTTCTGCTGCTTCGGAAAATGCTGAAGAGAGTGGGGTTGTGAGCAAGGAAGCCAAACAAATTGACAAGGAAAATAACAAATCCAAGAACAAGGTTGATGAGCCAAAGGATGAATCAACTGGAGGGGAGGGAAAAACTGATGTCAAGAATGAGAATGCCAAGCAATCTGAAAGTGAAGTTGAGGAGTCAAAGGTTGAATTAAATACTGAGAAGGTTGAAACTGATGATGTCAGTGAGTTAAACAAAACTAATTCTGCTCTTGAGAAAGCAGAAGGTGAGAAGTCAAGTGACGAAGACAAGAAATCTACAGAAAGCTTGATCATCGAGAATGAAGTCGGAAAAGATGCAGAAGGTGAGAAAACTGATGAAAATGGTACTGGTGATAAAAATATTGCAACAGGTGCTGATAGTTCACCCTTCAGCTCATTTCAGCAACTTTCAAGTAGCCAAAATGCTTTCATCGGACTTACTGGAACTGGGTTTTC